AGCTTTGCGCGAAATTCAAAAAACAAACACAATTTTGTTTAGTTGATTATTTTCCTGAGTTATGAGACAAATCGAATAAACTGAACAAGTGAATTAATAGAAAATAATTATGAGAAATCATGATATCAATATTTTGATTAGTTGGAATAATTAAAACAGTAATAACCAGAAACAGTGATTTCAATTAATTATTTTATGACAGTAATTGTTGTAATCAGTTAATCACTCAGGTGAGAGTAGAAAGTTATGAGAAGAGTGAAAAAATAAGTGACTAATGTGTATGATATGGCTAACCATACATAATATATGGGTACTAAATTTCTATTCAGAACAAAACAAGAAACTAAACATCAAAATTAAATGTTGTTATTGTTTCATTTCATCACCTTATTTGTTGTACTTATATTTTTAGTCAAAAGTTCTTAGGGAGGTAGTATAGGTTAATTTTTTTTTTTTTGGCTTTAGTAATTTTTCTAATCCTCATTTTTCTAGTCTCGTTACTTTGTTTTTCTTGGGTTAAAAGTGCTTAGGGATCAAATAAGATTTTTTTATAACTGATATCATTTGGTTATAATGCTGGAAAGTTCTAAAGTATTTTAAACAGGTTTCTGAATAGTTTTATATGCACTTAATCTATCAAGTTGCCAACCCCATTCTCAGTGTAGAAGTAAGATTTTCCAATGTGTTTTCCTTAAAGAAATTTAATTATTAATTCAGTGTATTTGAAGAAAACTCAAAATACTTGTATGCTGTGTAAGATAGTTCATTGATCAAATACTTTTAAAAAACTGCACTTTTATATTTATGTTACTATTTTCCTCATTCAAAAAAAATCCAATATCTTTTCAAGCCATAGTAGATGCAGCATGATGAAAAGCTAAATTACTTCTGTAGACATTTTTCACATATTCCATGTACTGTTTATAAATTGATATGCTTTAGCTACTTATAAACATTAGTTGCTGGTGGGTGGTCAATTTGCATATCATGAAGGGTATTCTTTTTGTTTTTATGTGAGTCTCCTGTTAATATAATAATGGACTAGCAATGGGATTACCCCTTTCTGCTCTACTTAGTGACCTCTACGTGTCTGCTCAGAAGAATTATTTGAGAATAAATTCACATACATCAAGAAACCTGAAATTTGGTTAAGATATGTTGATGATATTTTTAGTATATCACCATGGAAAAGATAATGTACTTAATTTCATTGAATGTTTAAACAACATGAGACCTAATGTTGTTATTTTCACACATGAAGTAGAATCTGACAGCTGTCTTCATTTTTTAGGGGTTAACATAAAAAGTGAAAACAAAGTGACTACTAGCATATAAAGGAAGCCACTTGTCACCACACAAGAACCAGTCACTACCTGTCACAGAAAATATTCTCCTACTTCACCTATGTAACCTGTGCTTTATAACTTTGTATTCACAAAGTAGACTTACAAACTGAATTAAACTACTTAAATAATGTAGCACTATCTACAGGTTTCAACTCCAATATCATAAATAGAGCTTTTATTAAACTTCTAAACCATAAAATATATTATATTAACTCTAGCCATCCCCCTACCAACAACGTAAAGTGTAAGAAATTTGTTTCATTCTCTTTTATGCCAGAGATTGCTAATAAAAATACTAGCATTGATATAAAACTTTATTTACACCTTCACATAAGATAAACATCTTACTACCTAACCTGAAAGAACCCCTACTAAAGGAACAAAAGCAAGGATTATTTAGTATCCTATGTGAACTTGTGATAAAATACATAGGACAAATATCACATTTCCTGGAAATAAGATACAAAGAACACCAAAGTCATATGCATCGATGTGAGTTTCAGATATCTCCTTTAACATGTCATAAATTTAAGTTACATCACAAAATACTTTGGGATGAAACTTTTCACTTTCACTAACCCAAATCTAAAAAGAAAGAGATTATTTAGAAATTATAGAGATCATCAAATCAAGTGATCTTTTACTAAATTGTGATAATAGTCCTATCAACATCAGCCATGTTCGGCTACATTTATACACCACAAATACACTTAACCTTTGTCTATAATCCTGTCACATGATAACATCAATTTTTTTACGTTAATCCCTTATGTCTTTGCTCTTCAAAATAAACCCTGTATTGCTTAGATACAGATCATATTTGAAGAAGACAGACCAGTGTCAAATGTTTAAAAAAAAAATCTTCATTATGGTTATAAATTGTTGTTTGCCAACTTATTATATTTGCATAATGTGTTTTCTTACTCAAATATTAAGTCTCCTCTTCTTTTTTGTATCTTAGCCAAAGCTGTATACGGGTGTTATAGAAGATGTCATCAACAATGTAAGGGAAGCCTTTCTTGATGAGGGTGTAGATGAACAAATACTTGTAGAGTTGAAACAGGTATGGTAACAATGTTTAAAAAAATCTACTTATACTCCTACGAATATAGAAACTTTGGTTTTTCAATAATTAAAATTTAGGTTACTATCTTGCACTAATGAATAAATCTTTTTTTGAAAAAAAATGGAGCGTTTTGCAAAATTTATATTGTTAACTCTCATTTAGTTGCATGGGGTGTTTTCAAACCCCACGCATGTTTGTTACCATAGTCACTAAAAGATGGTAGCACTGAGACAGTTGATGTTCACGGTGCCTTCCACAAATCCCTGATAGAGTGCGCAACTAGTTCCTCCCATTTCTATCTCAGCCACATTGAGAGTAACATGTGTTTTGTTCTTGCTCCAGTGTTCAAACAAACACCCTATGGTACTAAATCAAGGTGCATTTCTGGGAAAGCCCATATATTTATTTCTTTGTTATTCTTGATTCAATTAGTGTTTCTAGAGCTAATTAATATATACCACATATGAAAGAATTTTTGCCTCAGTAATGTATTTTTATGAAATTTCAAATTATTTGTTGTTTTTTTCACATTGAGGAAGGACAGCAACACTGAAAGTAAGAAGACTAGGCATTTTCATTGATGTTAATAAACTAATGATGTTTTTTGTTCAAAATAACTCGTAAGAACATGTTTAGTTAAAAAAACATATTTACTTTACTTTTGGAATGATAACTACTTCCAAAACATACATACCTCTGCTGACATTAATAGCTGTTTCTCGATCTTCATCTTTGCCATCTAACGTTGTGTTTGCTTGCTCCAGTCTCCATATATCTCACTCGACTGCCCTCGGCAATATTTAATTTGCAAAACTTTACGCCAACCCTCTATGCGGGTACTGCATATAAGCACTGTATGTAGAAAATAAAATCACTTTTTCTCCACAAAGCATGAGCATTCAGACTAACGTTTTGTGATTTACGTTTTCTTAGTTTTCACTTTCTAATAATTAGGAATTCTTTGTTTTGTTATCTACAGATATATTTCGTTGAATTTGTTTTGCTTTTTTCTTACAAATATACTTCTACTAATGGAGCTTGGGAGTCCTTACCACCCAGTTCCCAGTCGCTGGGGCGGTGGACAGAGGATTTACATTCGGAGTGTTGAGTTTTCTCCACTCTTGGAGAAGAGGGTAAAGTTGGGGACCCTCCTACCTGGGTCCCTGGACATTTTTCCCAGATGTCGGTAGGAGCAGGACCAGCCTATGCGGGAACCTACTCATAAAATGGGTGGGGGGTGCTTGGACCCTTTTATGAACACTGTCAGTTCTTATGTTGTTCATGCAGGGGGTCCACTATCTCCTTATATATCCGAAGGTGACACAGTCCCATCTTTGGTCCTTGGTGGGACAGTGTTCCACATCCTCTCCTTAATTCCATGGGTAAGCAGAATTCTCCTTGCCCACTTGGTGGGGGAGTAAAGACAACTGTTTGTAAATCCAGATGGGATGAGTTCTGGACTTTGGTGGAGTATGGCATATGATCCTGTCAATCCAGACCTGGGGTGTTGCCTTTTGGACTTCTTCAGATTGATCAGAAGATTGTCCATTTTGGTGTTGCTTTCTTTCTTTCATAAATCTGGTGGTTCGAAACGCATCATTCTGTGGTTACTGGTTGGGATCCTATCACAAAGATGTATATATATATATCTGCAGTCCAACTGCTCTGGCCACCACTGTAGGATATGGGTACCATGACCCCTTAAATCTAACCCAAGTTGTGAAACCTCGGCTGTATTGTCAGGGCTGGACCATCATACTTGTATTGTATTCCACCCTTTTCAATTTTCTGTAGTTCTGGGTGAAGAGCATACCTGTTGTGGATGTAGTGCGGTGTTCCCCACTGTGGAATTCTAGCTATTAGTGTCAGCCGAGGTATGTATGTTTTGAAAGTTATCATTTTCCTAAACTGAAAATGTATTTCCAAACATACTTATCTCTGCTAACACTCTCCCTCCCTTCCTCCCCACTAAGAGCCAGTGTTAGTGACTGGAATGTGGTAAGTCTCAAAAATGTGATTTTATTGTCTGCATACAGTGCTTATATACAATACCTGCATGTGAGGGACTGCATAAAGTTTTGCAAATTAGATATTGCCGAGGGCAGTCGAGTGGGGTATATAAAGACTAGAACAAGTGAACACAATATTAGATGGCAAATATGAAGATTGAGAAATAGATATTAGTGTCAGCGGAAGTAAGTATGTTTGGAAATACATTTTCAGTTTAGGAAAATGATAATTTGCACCACCAAGCAGTTTATCCACATGGCAGGCTACTATTCATTTTCCTCTAGAGGTTAATAACAGGAGTATATATTTACCTTGTCAAAAAAATTTACATCATCATTATTATGTTGTACTATCATTAATCAAGATAAGTTTGATATAACGGTGTGATATGGCTAGTGTGAAAACTATGTTACAAAACATTGTGTTCTTACTTATGTTGGAAAATAAAAATTTTTGTTGTTGTTGTATTTGAATTTATTATATGTTGTTGCAGACATGGGAGAAGAAATTGGCTGAGTCTAAAGCTATGGAGCACAAAAAACCAGAAACTGTTAGAGCATCTACTTTTCAACATCAGTTAGCTAGTCAGTCAGCTTCTCACACAATGGTTGCTCAGGTTCCATCCTCAGGTAGATTAAAGCTATTAAATTTTGTAGCATATCTAACTATACAATTGAACCAAGACTTTTTTAAGTGGTGTAAATGTGGGCACATGGTTATAATTCTGAGTATTTAAGCCATGTGAAATAAAACTTATAATTAATTTCTAGAACATAACAGGTGTGACAGCATAATATATAATTATTATATAATGTGCAGCAAAAGGTAAAAGTTTTTGTTGTGTAATGAAAATTTGTGAGTATAAGTTCATTGTTTAAAACATCACGTGGGTTTTTAAACTTATTTAGTGATTTCTCACATGGTAATATTCTGGTCTGCATCTGTGTAGTATTTTCTCAAACAGTTGCAAGGGAAATTATAAATATTGTGCATGTGTAAAAATGTTTTTTCTTTTTCTAAATAGTGTCATTGTATAGTGTGATCTTCATATTGAGTTACACAATTACATGTCAAAGTTTTTAACAGTATGCACTCACAATTTTTTTTCATCTGAATTACATTTATTCAGACCTTCAGTTGAAAAAATGCTTGACAACCATTATATGTATATCTAAATAGTTTGAATACTAATCTGGTAGTTTTTTTTAATCTAAAGACTGAAATGTCAGTTTTGTAAACTTGATCCTTGATCCTAATTTTGTAGCTAACAAGAGTAGTTATATGTAAACTGCACTATAGTTTGAGCATTAATACTAAAAGTTTCTGTTCCACCTGCATAAATACTGTTAATAAATTATAGTGTGTCATCTTTGTAGGTACTGGTACTAAACTAATGTGTCATTTGTGTAAGTACTGGTAAAAAAGCATGCCAGTGGTAAGTCTCTGGACTTATGATGCTAAAAATTGGGTTTTGATACGTGTTGTAAGCACGGTACAAATACCCAATTGTGTAGTTTGTGCTTAAGAAAAAATAAACCAAACTGGTAATAAATTGTGTGCCATCAGTGTAAGTACTGGTAACAAATTATTGTGTGTCCTCTGTGTAGGTATTGTATCATGGCATTCTTCCTGTGTGAATACTGATATTTAAGAAGAAGGTGTTTTGTGTGAATATTACTGGTAATAAAATATTGTGTGTCATCTGTGTAGGTATTGTATCATGGCCCTTCTTCTTAAATATCAGTATTCACACAGGAAGAATAAGGTGTTTTGTGTGAATATTACTGGTAATAAAATATTGCATGTCATCTATAAGATAATGGATACACGTTTATTGAACACTTTATCTATGTGAATACTAGTATTTAAATATTAAGCATGATCTGTGTGATTATTAGTACAAAGTCACAGAGTACTTTGTATGTGTAAACAGTGGTACTAGATTATTGCTGTACATGTATGTGAATCTTAACACTATATAACTCTTGTGTTTATGTGTGAATACTAGACCTGTTTATAGTACATTATGTGTATGTATGAACACTGATTTTAGATCATATTTTATTTGGTGGTGGGCAACTTAAGTTGGTCCGCTGGCCACATGAGCAACCCTCAAGGGCTGCAAATGATATGTTTAAATACAATTTTTATTTTCTTAGCATTAATGCACCTGGACTTAACTTGCTATCATCACTTACAGATAGCATTAACTTTTTTAAAACACTTATGTTTTGGTGATAAGTAATATTTTTTAAGGAAGCAAGAGGGTCTCGGGTCGCTTGCTATTGTTCTAAATCATTTTTACCACTATTATTATTATTATTTTGTAGCAATAGCTCATCAACTAACCTTGCCACCAGGAAGTCTGGTACAACCCATTATTCGTTATTCCACCACCAGTGGCTCTGGAGTAAGTCAATATGTTTTTTCAAATATATTTTTACCATCTTTTCATAAAAATAACTTTTATATACTGTACACATGATGAAGACATGTAATTAGGATTATATGTATATTAATCAGCTTTTTGTAGACTAGCCCAATAGGGACCATCATGGTACTGGTTATATGTCAGTTGTTGAAAACATACTCTCTGACTCTTAATTAGTTTTCTGAAGTTTTAAGAGATGAAAGTTCATTGGTCATTTATGATTGTAGCTGTCATAGGATAGTCTCTATGTTTAAGTTTTTAGACTTAAATTTTAACTAGCAGAGAATTCAAATGTATAAAAAGAACAGTCAATGATCATCTCAGTCTAATGTTAATGGGTGGTTAAAAAAAATACCCTTTTGGAAATGTATGTGTATTCTAAACTACAAACTTAAATTAAATCTGTCATTTTGATTTTGCTGATATTTGAGTGAAGAAAGACCACTGATGGAATGTATTTATAAACAGAGTCTGCTTTATCTGATGTAAAATTTTCCTCAAAATGACCTTCTTTACGAGTCTTTTGCCATTTTGCTTCAGGAAATTGTGCAAATCAAATGTTCTTCAATGTTTTAACAGTTCAAACAGTGTTTAGAAGAGAAAGGAGTTAGAAGCTTTGATTTTTTTTTAAAAAAAGGTGATAATGCAAGAGTGCATTTACTTTTTACCAAAATTAATAAATGCTGGTTTTAGCAAATTTCTGAAAAAAACATTTTTGGATGTTATCTAAAACTAGATATTATATGCACCTAAGTCTAAACTAAAAATTAAACCAAAGTAGAACACTAATTTATGCATAAGAGAAACACTTCATTTTAACAATAAAATTATTACCAGATTTATGGTTTTTTTTTACTGTATATTGAGTTTAACTTTGTCTGGTGAACACTATTCAGGTGTATAAAATTTCCAAATTTTAAGAAAAATACTAATTTTGTTTTAACGTTTTTCAACTCAAAAATATTTTGGAGTTGATGTTTTGTTATTATATAACATTTATTTAGTGTAGTTCACAAACACAAAAAAAACATGTTCAAACTTGCATTTATGTACTGGTGAAGTAGTCTTGCCTATAAGTATATATAGATTTTATTATTTTTTTAGAATTTTTCTACCCATCCCAAAGCATAGGTTTATATTTGCTAAGAAACTATCATCCCTTAAGAATATAGTTTTGGTTCTCTGGTGGTTTTCTTTCTCTGTCACTTTTTCTATTAGTACAGTCTCTAATTTCACCCCTTCTTTGATCTATCAGCATGTAATTTGAACAACTACTAATGAAGCTTGGCATTGGTAATAGCTACAGGTAAAGTTTAAACATCATTGAATTGAACAGATTATAAACTGGAAATGTGTGTTTGGAAAGAAATAGTTTTAACTGAATTTGACAAATATTTTTTAGTTTGTTTCTCAGAAGCATTGGCCATTTGCCTTAAACTGAAATTAGGATTTTCTGAATTGGAGAGTTGTCACTGATATCCTTGGTTTTATCCTTATCACAGTGGAAACAATTAAATAGCAAATTTTATAAATAACATCTAGTTTTAGCTTTAAAAAATTTCCTACAATTTGATTTAGTTTTACAATCATTCTTTTAAGTTATGAAATTTACTACAAAGACATGAAAAATACTTCCTTTCACCTGACAATTTAAGTTTTTTTTTTATTTTTGAGCAGAAAATTCCATCTTATATATCCAGTCAATTTCAACTTGGTTGATCTTCATTAACTTGTTTCTTTTGATAATTTATTTTCTCAATTGTAGAAGTCACCACTTCTGGCTATAAATCAAGAAATCACTGCAAACACTTACAAAGATTCAGTGATGACTCAGAACCTAACTTTTCAAAACGGCATTAGGTCAGGCTAGATAGGATTTTTGGTTGAGATCTACTAATATCTAAACAACTAGTTTAATTTCAAGAAATAATAAGTGAATTTTATTTATGTAGATTGTTTGAATATGCTAAACTTAACAATAATATTCAATACATAAGAATTTAAGAGATTGAATATTTTGTCATAACCTACCATACTTGCTAAACATAACTAAGCTTATCCAATGTCTTGTCATAGAAGAAAATTTCTACAGTTATTTAAATTAAATATAATTTAACATGAAAACATTTTCAGGAATGAAAAGAAAATCCTACAAAACTATTAAAAAATGATCAGATCTGGGATTTGTTCATAAATCTCCTAAGCTTCCCATTAGCCTCTGTTCTGTTGTTTTCTGCAGAAGCTAGGTCTTGTAACTTTCCCATAACACCATAAATTACTTGTCAAACTTTATTCATTCCACATTCACATAAATCATGCAATTCCAAAAAGCAAGATGAGTTTGTTTTGCTTTCACAATAACCATTAGTTAAACTTACATCATTGATTGGTTAAAATCAAGGGGTAAACATTTTCAGTTTTTGAGGTGTACATATGTATTTTATGTCATTAGTGATGCTATCAAACAGTTTACCTGTGCATGAATGTCAAAAAATTCACAAATCAAAACACTGAATGTCTAATCTTTTTTTTTTCTTATTATTTCAATTTCTACCATTATTTTAGTAAGATTATTGATTAAAAGGATGTAGTTTGTAGTATTATTCACGCAAAAGCAGATTTAAGCAATATAAATTTTCTACTACCTATATTGTTAGAATTATGTTATTAATCTCATACTTTTAAGATACCAATTACTTTAATGTCATTCAACATGTTTGTTAGGATGATTCAAGAATAACAGAAATCTTTTTACATTATCTTAATATTGCTTAACACATTACAAGTGATAAAAAGATATTTATTTTTGGGTCACTAATAAACTGACTGGGATAACCATGTGGGGGAGGGTTGTCACACTTAAAGACAAATTCTCATTGGTTAAATCTTCCTTGCAAATAATTCATTGAGCTATTTCAGGATATTTGGTTTTGAATATTTTCAGAAAATGTGTGCAAAAGGTCAGTTTTAGTGGGAAAATACAGTAAAATATACATGCCTTGGATCGCCCCTTAGGATGGTCCGATGGACTTGGAAATTTTTTTTTGGTATTTCAACACATATGTAATGTGTTAATCAACATTAGGATAATGTAAAAAGATTTCTGTTATTTTTGAATCACCTTAATGCTTGTGAGATTGACCAAAGTTACCCTGATGGTTTTGCAAAAGCAAGCTTCAATATAGTAAGGGAATAACAACATTTAAGGATAACAAGGAACCTGTTGGTCCATCTAGGTTGTCCTGTCCATTAAATAAACTAAACTATATATGTAAACTTCCCTTAAATTCCCTCAAAGATACTGCTTCCACCATAAAAATTACATGCATCAAACTTTATTAACATATTAACTGCAAAAATTTTGCACATTAACCCCGCAGTTTTTGTTTTAACGTCTCCTTCTGTGAAAAACAAAACACAAAATAATGAATGAATAAAAAAAAGAAGTTAAAAAAGTTCAGCAAATAAAAGAACTGTTGTTGTTTTTCAGAAGTTTATGGTTTCAGTGAATACTTTATGATCTTTGAAGCTAAACAGGATCACAGCAGATCTATTAAGACATGTTGTATATCAGGGATAATTGCTAATGTTTAATGTAAATACGTGCACCAGATGAAGTTTATACAAACTTGTAGTAAGCCTGTGTGTAATGTAATTGCATATTAGCAATTATTTTTGAATAGTGCATGCTATAACTGCAGATTAACATATAGGTAATTTGGTAGTTGGTGACATAAGCAAAAATAACGGAGGCGCTTTAAACATAATTGCAAAGGTGTAGTACCAACTACTAATGGGTTTTACTAGTAAAACATCTTTGCTACACCGTGCCTCTTATGAACTGTTGCATAATTGATATTTAGTGCTTAATAATCCTGGGTAGGTTAACAAACTTCTTCATCAGGAATTGGTCTATGTTTTGGACCAGGGATGGTCAGGTTCAGCGCTGATCTCTTCTTCCCTCTCGGGAATAGTTATTTCGTTTGCACTGTTACTGAATCCTAGGTAATAACCCTTGTTACATTGTTGCATTACTCACAGTATGTTAAATTTTGTCCATTGTCCGCAGTTTTAATTAACATACCTTTTTTATGCCATGTCCAGTTTATGTGGTAATAATAAGTTGTATATCACTAGCTTCATTTATATATGATTGCACTGTTGGTCCATGCTCACAATACAGTTCTGCTTAGCAGTAATATACACACACAGACATAATCCTATTTTGACATACAAAACCCTTTTAAAATAGAGCTACATTTGTGTCTAGGAGTGCTTTTGGAGTGCAGCACTCAGAGTAGGTGCCCTCAAAGTTTACTCTGATGCTTCTATATTCCAGGAAGTTACAAACCGAGGAAATAATTTCTATTGGGAGTCCAAATTTGGACAGTTTGTATCCGAGTCCATTGTGCCATACCTTATCGAATGCTTTTTCAACATCTAGGAAGCATGTAACTGTGCATTGTTTTTATTAAAGCCATGTATTATTTCTTCCATTAATCTTATGAGATGATCTGTTGTTTGTCTTGCTTTTTGGAAGCCATTTTGTATTGATTTAGTTTCAAGGTAATTTATAAGTCTATTATTTATAATTTTTTCAAGTAATTTTCCTAGGTTGCTTGTTAGACTTGTGGGTTTTGTAATTTTCGGGGTTATTTGCCGATTTGCCTTCCTTCTGGAACATAAAAACATTGGCCTGTTTCCAATTGGTTGGTATGTATCCTGTTCTTAGAGATAAGTTGAATAAAGATGTGAGATGTTCTAATAATCTCAGAGGGTCTTTCTTGAGTAATAAGTTTTTAATTTTGTCTGGTCCTGGTGCTTTGTTTTTCAAAAGATTTATGGTTTCTTGTACTTTTGCTATTGTGATGGGTCTGATAAGTTCTTTGTTGTGTAGTGTCATGTTTCGCTTCTGTTGTTATGTTATTTTGTTGAGTGTCCTAAGTGAAGTGTGGTGTGAATATATATTATGATTGGTTGTGATATAATTATTTACTATGTTCATGAAGTGGTTGTCCATGTTGGAGTCGTCTGGTGTTTTGAATGTTTTTTTGTAATTGTAGTTGTTTTTTAAAGGCGTGTGCTTTGTTTCTTCAAGTGTGCTAGTTTATTATTATGTTTAAGTGTAGGGTAGGTGGTGATAGTTGTTGTTTTTTTACCTCGTATCTTTTTTGTGTACGTGACCAGAAATCTGACTAGAAATCAGTTCAGGTTTATTTATGTACAGAAGGTGTTCCATTTTTGTGATTATAGTAGCTTAATGTCATTTATAATTGTGTTTATTTGCATTTTTGTTTGTGGGTCACCGGTTGTCATATACTCTTTTCTTAATTTTATTCATTCCTTTATTTTATTTATTATGTCAGTGTCTAAATACTCGTTTTCGAGACCCAAATGATCTAAGATCGAGACCTTCCAAAGAGTGGTCTCAAGACCTACAACACTGATTATAGCCTGACCTGCTATAACAACCTTTCCATCTCAGGTATATTAGTAGCCTTTGAACCCTTTTCAACATTTCAATATCCTTCTTAAGGTAAGGATCCCAAAACTGAACACAAATGTAACCTAACCAATGATCTATACAATAATATTATAATCTTAAAAATAAAAAGGAATTGAAAATGTCAGCAGAAAATTAAGGTGACAAGTGTGAAATTGAAGTCCTGTCCAAAGATTCTCAGTGGTCCTCAGATTCAGAGTTTCTGCTTGTTGTGTTTTTCAAATGAAGTCCCCAAGATACAGGTGTAGAAGATTATTGCATTATTATCTTTGAAGACACCTTTGCTCCTTACAAGCTTTTATCTATATACTTATTTTACCAGTTAGTACATGAAAGGGGACTAGCACCATTTCACACCATTTCATATACTTGCTGTCATTCACTGTCCGTGCTTTTCAGGATTGTATTCAGTATATTTGTAGATATACCTTAAAATCCTGTTTGCCTTACCACTAGCAACAGCACACGATTAGTAGTTAGGGCATCATAGCATTGTATTATTGGCAATTTATTCATGCTTAAAAAGTACATATAAATAGCATGAATTTCAGTCAGATATCTATCTATTTTGTCTTAAAGTTTTATGAAAAGTATCAAACTCTTAGATAAAAACAATGTGTCTATATGTTCTTGTTATTTGTTATGGCTGTCTGTTTGTGAAACTTGTCATCACAAGGGGCAAAGTTTTGTCCCTGATAAAGATAGGTCCACCTGATGAAAGGACTAAGATTTTTATAGTTTTTTTGTTAGTGCAATTTACCAACTTTTTTGATCCTACAGTCCTTTACTGCTATTTACATAGAAATGGCACTCTTTGTGTTTTATGTAGTTAGTATGCATACATGGACTGAACCTGGAGGTTCATCGTTCATGTCCTGTTGTGCAAAAATAACCTCTGTCATGAGTATGTTCTATAAGAGTGTAAAATCCCACTGTTTGGTCAGACAAGAGCTATCAAAGAGTTGATGGTGCTGTTGACTAGCTGTCTTCCCCCTTATCAAATTAAAATTGTAAGGATAGCTTTGTGCAGATAGAGCTTGTGTAACTGTTCACAAAATTTTAAAACATTCTTTGTGTAGTGATATTAGTGAAGTATTATTTATTAATATGAATTATCCTTTATCCATGTTTATTCATAAAAGGTTATTAATAATCATAAAATACTTTTTGTAAACTAAATCATATAAATGCAGTTACATTTTAAAAAGAATAAGGCCGAAATATTGTAAACAAAGAGCAAGAAGAAAGTATATAATAAAAGTATATTATAAGCATGAAATAAAAAATATCTTTTTTAAAGCTTGTGTGCTAACAATTAATGTTCCTCTTTGTAGCTCATAATGGCCTTTTTACATATTAAAAAATACAAGTTGAGCTAACATGCCACTTCCAAATCTAGAGTGGCGAGTTCTCATGAGAATATAAATCTTTCTTTAACAAGTTAACAGTAGTCTTAAATTGTACATTATACACAACATAATCAAAACCATAAAATAGAACAATGACAGTAACAATTTGATTAAAAAAATAAAAAGATTCATCTGATTAACAAAATGTTATAGGAGAGACAGAGTTATCACTTATTTCCTAAAAATATTGTAAAAATAAAAACACCAATTCCAGTAATTTGTAAACTATAAAAATCTTCATAAGTCAGTACAATAAAATTGCATTAATTAACATGGGATTTAGTACTTAACATACTATTGCTACTAATCATAATAATGATGCTAACTTACACCTATCAAATGATCCTGAAGACTGTTTACAATTTCATTGTTTGGGGTCATTTGGGCATTAAGAAAATCAAAATGGCAGAGGGCTATAAAATTTCAGTAAATACTATATTTTGAATATACTTGGAGAATGATTAAGTTAAAATATCAGCCTGAGTAATGTGGGAGGTGTGTGATGGTTAATGAACAAACCTTTGATTATACCTGTTACTGTAACTTTAATAAAAAATATATTTGATTTCTAACAAGAGTCAAAGCAATCAATGACAAACATAAACAAAATGGCTCTTAACCTGAATTACTTGTCTGGATGGACACATGAAAGATGTGTGTTTAAGTTATATGATGTCCTCAGTTTTTCCTCCTCTTGTAAAATATGCACACAGCTCACATATTTGGCAATATTGTATTTGTTGAGCAATTTTTACAGCTATACACTACATTTCTAGGTATAACAGTAGCCATAATTGTGCAGGAAAAGTAGGTGCTAGATGTTTGTTGCTAAGCTGCAATCAGTTAATGCCAGAAAGGTGGTAAACTTTTGTTTTACTTCAGGAGAACTTCCAAAGGTAGAATTTACTGTGTCAAATAAAATTACTCACAATTATTTCCATCATAGTGCTTGAATGTCCAAGTCTAATTCTGGGTTGCACATGATAAAGTCTGAGCCTTCTGCAATGATGACTCGAGTCTGAGTCACAAAATATGTGACTCGAGTACTTGAAGTCTGCAATTCAAATTTTAGTGAAATCATATGTTATTAAAACATTCAATATAGTTAAAGTAAATTGGGATTAAGTGTCTTAATGATAACATTTAAACTTTAAAAGTATAAAGTGTATGAATATCTCTGTGGAAAGTATAAATGTAATTAGTCAATACAAGCACACACACTCGCATATGCCATGTGAAGGACAATAACACATTCAAGTGATAAGACTTTTTTTTCAAATTTTGAGGGTATATTTCATTTTTCTATTACAGGTAATATTGGCTTAGGAATCTTTAGTTTTTGTTTTGCTGTTCATACCTGTATGGAACACCAACTCCAGGATTGAAGTTTCACTTATCATCCCCACAGGGCTAGTTACAGAAACTTATTTTAAATTCAAATTCGATCTCCAGCCATTATTAGAAACTTATTTTATTTCGTAGTTTTCTACTTATTTCATTAGGAGCATCTACATTCTTCAAAGTAATTGCAAACATTGTGCCACACTCTGAGCTTGAACTCCTTTATGTGTGTTTCTTGTTTTTTCAGTTCTATTTTTATTTCACTTGAAACTTAGTAATAAAGGATAAGTACATTTTACCTTTCCCACATTGTAATTTCAACTGAAGTTTGTCTGTTTTTCTGTACAATGCTTTTTGTTCTTGGCCTAGTTATTTAAAAGGTTATTTTAAATATAATTCAATGTGAGGAGCTGCTACTGCTGTCTCTTTTCTTTAGATTTAAACCAACATAACTGCTGTGTAATCTTAGAATCACACACACACACACACACACACACACACACATGTACAAAGTTAAAACAAGTGAGACACTTTTTCATTTACATTTCCTCCATTTTAGAAGTTGTAGTGGGTTTGAGTGATATATGTATTAAAATAAAATTGTTTAAATATTTTGCCAACAGGTGGAGACAGTAACTCTTACAATGCCACAGAAAGTGACTCTTGCTGTACCTGGACAAAATTCCCAGCATGGTGTACAGACTGTAATGGTATGCCCTGTTACATGACCAGTATAATAAATATTTTTGTTTAAAGTAAATTGGTTGTCTAGGTTACATTTTTAAGAACAAAATTAAAGAATACTGTGAGATTTATGGGGGGAAAAGGACATCAAAGGAGTAATTCATTTCAAACTCCTCAATCCACAGCGAACTGTCAATGCGGAGATCTATAGTCAGCAACAGGAACGTTTAAATCAAGGTGTTCTTCTCCACAACAATGTACGTCCACATGTT